ATCTGGCAAAATGCAGTTTGGGCATTTCGGAGGCAGGGAGGGAGTGAGAGGGAGGGATGGACCTCCACGCCCCTAAACCCCTAAACCCTTAAACTCTAACCCTCCACAGCCTCTTCTCCGGCGAGGGAGATAAAAAGCTCCCGGATTTTACTCAAGTGCGCCTTGACAACCAGGGGTTTCGGTTTAGGGTTTAGGGTTTAGGGTTTGGGGTTTGTGGTTGAGGGTTTAGGGTTTAGGAGTTTTGGGGTTGAGGGTTTAAGGTGTAGGGGTTTCGGGGTTTAGGGGGTTTAGGGTTTAAGGAGTTCAGGGGTTTCAAGGGTTTATGGATTTTGGGTTTCGTGTCGAGGGCTTATGGGGTTCCAGGGTGACACGGGTTTGGTGTTTCAATCGTTTGGATTTGCTAAACCCTAAACCCTAAACCCTAAACCCTAAACCCTAAACCCTAAACCCTAAACCGGGGTTTAGGGTTTATGTTTAAGGCTTGTTGGGTTCAGGGCTTTGGAGTCCAAGGCTTTAGGATTCAGGGCTTCCTAGTTCATGGTTGGGGTAGTATTAAAAATGTAAACTTATATTCCTTGTTGGGTTTAAGTACCCCTTAAAAAGGTAAAATGTTACCCAACTATGACAAAGTTTCAGGGGTTTTAGGACATTAGGATTCAAGGCCCATGAAAGCTGAGCCTTGAGAATCATGGTTTAGGGTTTAGGGTTTAGGGTTTAGTTTAGGGTTTAGGGTTAGGGTTTAGGGTTTAGGGTTTAGGGTTTAGGGTTTAGGGTTTAGGGGACTTACTGTAGGTTTTAGGGGTTTTGGGTGATAACGTTCTCCCCGACCTCACCCGTTCCCCTGTGCACCCATGGGTCAACCACGACGTCAACCGTAAGTACCCAGACCTCCATACTTTCCCCAGAGCAACCATGGGTCAACTGTGACGTTAATCTCACCCGGGCCTCATTTGGGGGTTTCCGAAAATAGGGGACCCTAATATAGTACCCTAAATAGTAGGATCCCTATTATAAGGACCCCAAAATAAGGTACCCCCCAATTTTCGGAAACTCCCATTTTGTTCCCTGGAGCATCCATCGGTGGCAGACAACGCAGGACTCTCTCCATGCATGGAAAAAAATCAACCTCGATTTGTTTAGATACGTCTTTGTGTTCGTGTAGAGGCACCAACGGCCGCTGATGCAAGACTTCATTCAAGCTCTGGCTGGCAGTTCCTAGTTCGTCATGATTGTTAGCCCAAATATCATCGTATGTGCACAAAACCCAATTTTGAGGGTATGTTTTAAGCTTTCCTAATTCCCCGGTCGTCAACCTAGCCACAGAGTTCCGAAGACGAAGTGCCCGAAACCCAAGCGAAAAGACACCGATGCGTTTAGTCTGCAGGTTTGTTGTGTGCCTGTGACCTGTTCTGAGGGCTCTTACGCGCAAGGGTTCGGGCTACGGTTTAGGAGGTTACAAGGTTCTTGAAGTCCGTGGGGATGGAAAGTTTCACATCACGGCACTTGGAACCCCTTCTAAAAGTTAGCTTTTGAGACCTTTTATATAAGAACAAACACAAAGTTAAGCTCCTAATGTCCTAGCCAAGTCTGAAACAGAGCTGGGTTTGATTGAATTTCACCCGTCGCCTCCTTGTTGGCCAGGATGTTCTGCACTGCCAGGGCATGATCCGTCTGCGCGCTCTCGATGGCACTCTGACCTTCAATGCGTCTGCTACACCTAGACACCACAGTATACTTATAGTCTCCATTGTAAATAATTCCTGTCTTGATTGACCATATATACACATACATATATATATATATATATGTATTCGGAACTTCACCATATAGATTGGGGAACTAAAGTGGGGACGGGGTAGTGTCTTAACAAATGGAACAGGGCTTCTCAGACGGATTGTTTGAAGGGTTCTACAAGAGTTTCTACAAAGGTTGTACGACCTGGGAGACTTGACTGCCACAAAGGTTCTATGGTATAGGAGCCTTAATAAGTGGAAGACGTGCAAAAATCTGCTATGTCTATGTGTCAGCTGCTAGAATCGATACTCAAGGACAATGCGGGCATCGAGTTTGGGAGCTGGCCCGTTCAGAAAAGGTAAGGACTTCGATAATTCCATGAAGGCGGTGGTGGATAACAGTAATAATGATAATAGTAATCCTAGTAATAATCGTAATAATAGTAATCGTAATAATCGTAATAATCGTAATAATCGTAATAATCGTAACAACAGTGGGATTGCATGGACGCTCCCGCATCTTGGCCGACGGAAGCACCCCGTTCGGTGCGACCTGCAGGAGGTCTGCCAGGAGGTGCCGGGCTTTGAACAGCCACTCGCAGGTCACAGCAGCTTTCCACGACCGGTGCTCCTCAACGGTTCTCCTGCTGCTTGAAGCATTTCTGCACGTCCCCCACACCTATGAAAGGGTCGCACCTTAGACGGACATCCACGGCAGAGCTCAGCAGCAAAATATTGTTTTTGCCTTCTGCTACCTACAGATCTCGCATATCCCTGGAAACTTACATGAAGGCATTTTCGTAGAGCTCGACCCTGGAAGTGCAACGAGAAACCAGGCGGCTGCTCATGAGTCCTGCCCATCTAGACTCAGCACTAAGACAGCAACAAACGCCTCGACGATTTCGAAACCCTAAACCCTAAACCCTAAACCCTAGACCCTAAAACTTCAACTGCGCAAATCACTCTTTGAAGAACTCCCTTGCCGTCTGAACCTGTACCTGTTTCGGAGTTCAAACTGCAGGATGTAGGAACACGAGTATATATATATATATATATAGAAACGTACATATATTTGTATTTCCGCTTATTATTTATCTATTTACATGTTTGCTTGACTGTTCGTGCAAACATATGTATATACATACACACATATAGCTAGTCATAGCTAGCACAGATACACAACTACATGCGTAGGTACATACATGCAACAACGTACACACACACGCACGTGCGTGTGCATCGATTTCTACATGTTATGCTTGCTTGAACACACCCACATATGCAAATATATATATATATATATATATGCTTATATATCTACATATATACATATATATAGAGAGTGTAACGCGCTG